TTAGTATTGGGTTCCTAGTTTTACTAGTTGAGTAATTTTATAATAATAATTTCGTACTTCAAAATTCTTATGAGATATTTGAATTGTTTGGCGGTTTTGACAAGAAAAGAAAAGAATGTGATTTTAGCTCGTTTGGAGCAAATGAATGAATTGGATTAAAACAAGAATGAGTTATCAAAATTTTTATTTATTTATTATTTTCCTTGGTTTAATTCGATGGGTTGATGTTGATAATTGAAAAGTAAACACTCGTGTTATATTTTATAAGTATAGTCAAGAGATGATTTTGATATAATTGATTAAGTGTTGGAATATTCACTTCTGCTTATTGAGAATTATGATTGAACTTGAAGATCCCGAGATTTCACTTGCATGAGAAAAATGGGAATTTGATTCTATTTAATGTTTGGGATGAGGATGAGTTTTGGAAAGATTGTAATTACATTTCATTGATAAAGTATGTGAGTTAGAAATTGATGAAACCTTGAACCCGCTTTGGTGTTATATGTTATTGCTATTGATGAACTTACTGTTTAAAAGTTTTGGTTTTGGTAACCGGTAGAGGATTACTATGTTGGTATTTGAATGAGGAGATTCTTGAAAAGGTAAGAAAATGTTTGATTTTGGAAGTTTGTTTTACATAAAGAATATTGTTAAGTTGTCTTGAAAAGACTAAGTTGGAAGTTATTGATTCACATGTGGTAAATACATGAACATTGACATTATTATATTATCTCTTGGGATTGTATCATGATATTACATTGATAGAGATATGGAATTTGATCACAATGGAGCATTGTGTGGTGGGATTTAAATTAGAACTATTCAAATGCATTGTTACATATTGCATTGCCATTCCATTTCATTGTTATCATGGATTTCAGATTACAATTGAAAACTATTGTTTTGAAAAAGGAATTGTTTTTGTGAGACAAGGTCATTTTGATTTGTTTTGGGTAAATACGTTGGTAAATCCGGATGGGGGGTGTAGTTTGATATTGGTAAAGTTGGCCTAAGTGTCCATGGTGAAAGACCGAAAACACGCGTAGAGGAAGAATCACATTCCTTCCGGTGAGAGGCTGGTAAAGTAGGGATTTGGTAGTGCTTGATATGCCTACTTGTAGACACCAGCCTAAGGATTACTTGAGTCGTATTTACCACCTTGAAATTATATTGAAATTGTTGGATTAATGTGTTTTCAAATTGGCATTGTGCACAAGATTTTCAAAAAATGAGAAAAATATTTTGAGCATGACATGACATATGCATTCATCTCATAAGTTGTATAAAATGTATTTGATGCTTTGTTAGATGTCATTATGAATTGTTTAATTATTTGATTCAGTTGACAATAGGGTAATTGAATAAATTGAAAGGGAGGTCATGTTGCTATTGAGGCATGCTTATTTATTTAAGTTAACTAGTTGTGGTTAATTAAAATAAATTAGAGTTAAGAGGTTATGTAATAGAATCATATAGTTTTGACATGATATGATTTCACATATATGTATATGTATCTTCGTACCCGCATATCTTCTAATGTTATAATATGAGATTGTTTGGTGAGTTAGCGGTTACTCACCCCCCTACCTATACATGTGTGCAGGGAATGCTTTTCAGATTTGAAGATCAAACAATGGGTTTACCTCATAAGCGTAATGTAGTGATGGATTACACTACTTCATTTGTTTATTTGGCTGAGTGCTATTTGCTTTGTAAAGGGCAACACTATCCTATTTATTGTAAGCCTCAGGGTATTTCTTTTATTTGTGTGTAAATGTCATTGTTGTATAACGAGAGGGAACATGTATATTTAGTTATTCATCATTTCATCAAAGGATGAATTGTCATTTGTAAATTGACTTAATTAATAAATATTGGTAATGTTATCCGAGTAATAAAATACGGGGTGTGACAATAACAGTGCATAATTAACAGTGCCTATTCAATTTTTGTTTGATATGGTATATATGACAGGAAGGTTTTAAGTTTACCAATGAACCCTATGCTATTGAATCTATCCTTAAATTGATGCACAATCGATATAAGAACTATTGCCATGACCTACGACAACGCTTTAGAAGTTTCCCTACAATGGAATCTGCCCTTGCGGATCGACTTGAAAATATGAAAAAAGAGGTATGGAGGTTCTTGTGCGCAAAGTGGTCTGACATGGACTACAAGGTAACTTTATAATCTTGGGCTCATTTTCTGTCAATATAAAAACCCTTCTAAATGCCAAATAATAATTATCTGAGCTAACTCTCTTCTTATAAAACTCATTCAAAGAGTCTTCCTTACCTTGTGATAATCTGAATAGGCTTGAAAAATCCTTTACCTTGTGTAGATACCCCATTTTTGACCGACCTCAAGATTTAGTCGTCATCGCTTGTGCACTCGATGATTACGATTGCATTTGTTCACTTTGAGTGCCCGGAGTCCTCGTTGGAACGCCCTGTCTCTGAGCCTTTAAAGCTTGTCTATTTTGTGTTTTGTTTTGGACCAAAACCTTGTTGTTTCAAGCCTGGAACTTGTGGTGACTTGTCAGCCACCACCATAGGCTGTCGGCCATGGCTCATGGTTGTCGGCCATTGGTGTGGCTAGTCAGCCACCAGTATCTTTGAACTTACTGTTTAAAAGTTTTGGTTTTGGTAACCGGTAGAGGATTACTATGTTGTAAACCACCATATGATTATATTCACTAGAAAAATTTTCATGTTGAATTGTACTACTTTCACAATTATATGTGTCAAATAATGTGAAAATTTTGGAGCCAAATTCTCTCTCTCTCTCTCTCTCTCTCTCTCTCTCTCTTGTAATTTTATATACATTTGCTCACAAATCCTACACTTTTGCCAATACAACCTTGATAGAAGTTGCTAGTCTTTGGGCTGAGGTTGCTTGAGACCCTCTTTGGGCTCTAGAAGGTGGTCTTGGCTTGGTTTATTGGCCAAATTGTGACTTGGCTTCAAGAGGTATAACACTCTGAACATTGACTCTTTCTTTATACTTGTTTTGTACATTTGCTTTGCCATCCTTTTCAATTGTTTTGAGGCTGATTTTGAACTGTAAAAAAACTATGTTTTTTTGGCTTAAAAGTGTTGGTTTGAGGCCATTTTCAATTAAGGGGTGGTTCACCCTTCTTGCTTCTTAGTTTGTAAAGTTTTTGTGCCTTTATTCATCACTTTGAAACCAACTTTTTTGGACCTTTTAACCACTAAATTTTAGAGGTTTTTCAGTGGCAAAAAACTCATTATGAAGTCCAAAATTGGAGGGGTTAGCCTCCCCTCCTTGTGTCTTGTTTGCATGCCTAGTTAGCCCCATGTATTAGCTTAATGTTTTAGTTTTTTGTAGCTCAAGTTCAGCATGTTTTACACTCTGTTTTGAACTATTTTATCACTGTTTTGGCTGCTTGGTGCCTTTTGAGTCTTGTTTTGTATAGTTGTAGTGTAAGTCCTTTCACTAGCTTGGTGCTTTAAGGCTTTAACCATCATTGGTTCGAGTAGATTGCATGTTTTAGTGCTTTTTCTCACCAAATTTTAGCACTTATATTCTCTGCAATTTCCTTCATTTCTTCACTTTTTCATTTTCTTTGAGGGTTGTTTTAACCTTAGGGTTGTTTAAGCTTGAGATGGAGGCTCGTGCTTAATGGTTTAATCCTCCTTCGAGGGTTCATTACCAACGGCATGAAGCTTCTCTCATGTCTTAAACTATCCCTTGGTTGACACTTCTTTCATCCTAGAAGACACTCACCAATAGACGAATTGATTAAAGAATGATTTGGTAATTAAAATGTGTAAATAAAATCGGCAAGCAAAAGAGGCAAGATAAGCATTCTTTGTGTTGCATTGCATGTGTTCAAAGCGGACGTTAGTTTGAACACAAAGAAAATGGAACATTTCATACTCAAAAGTGATGAACTATGCCATTTTCCTAGGTCTCCATTGCCCTTGATCATGCATGACAGGGTAATGGTCATTTGAGTCTTGTTTTGCATTCATTAAACTTGTACAAACTTGGTTCTTTGGCCATTATGCAATGAAATTGCTTCGTTGATGGTTTGAGAGCCAAGAGTATCACTCCTTTGAACTTGTTTGATGATAAGGAGGGTAACAGTACAAACAAACCTTCAAAAAGTACACTGTTTTGCTCTGTTTGCTCTCTATTGCAGCAAGAAAGTCCAAGCCAGTGGTGGTCGACAGCCACCACCAGTAGCCGACCGACCATCAGCAGTGGCTGACCGGCCCCCTTGTCAGCCACCAATGCAAATTCAACAGTGTGCTCCTGAGACAAAAGAGAGTTGATCTGGAAAAGGAGAAAGTGTAAGTGCTTATGTGCAAACAAAGGCGTTCAAGAGCAAAGGAAATCAATTTGTCAGGAAAGTTGGGACCATTTTAGCTCTAGCAAATGGGGCTTTTTTTTTATCTTACTAATGTTAGTTGCTGAGCTGCTATAATTTTTATCAATCCTCATAGTGATTCTTTATTGATATGTGATTGGTTTCCTAACTGCCTAAGCCAAACTTAGATTTCTATGATCCTTCAAAATATTTTGTTTGATTTTTTTATATTTTATATTTTTTTTTTATATAATTCATTGATTTATGTGACCAAAAAGTAGTCAACATGACTTTTATATGTTAGCTTTGTCAAGGTCTTCATTATTTTAAAATGTGTTGGTCTCTTGTATTTCCACCTTGCATTATATGTTAGCTTTGTTGATTTTTTATATGGCCAGTGGCCACCAAGATTTTGTCTCTTAGCTTATTGACAAAACAGAATGAAACAAATGAAAATTAATAGCTATACCATGCAACTCTGTGTTTAAATCTCTTTTATGTAGTTAAAATTTCATTAATCTGCAGGTTCACTACTTCTGGCCTCTGGATAGCATTAGAATAAAAGAGTTTGATAATGTGTGGAATGAAGTTACAAGACAATCTGGAGGAAGGCTCACCTTTGATACTATTCCTGTCATGTTTGGGAGGTATACCTTGAAATGTAGTGCTTTTGTTGCTCTATTTAAGCAATCATGGCTCATGCTCATGCTCTGTTTTTTCCCTTATCAGATTCATGGCATTGTATCATGTCATTTCCATGGGTAAATGCACCCAAAATTTGCCACATGGTTGGTGATTTTCTTTTTATTTTATTTTTTCAATTTTTTAGTGTTTTCCTCTTGGCTTATTGTGAACTCCCCCTCTAAATTGTCAAAATTGTCATAAATATATTTTGTCATTCTGATATCTCTTTTGCTAGGTCATAAGTGGACTTGAGGCCAGGACCTAATTCATAGTATTAATCATCTGGCCTACTTTACTTGAATTTCATTGGAAATATTCAACCAAAGGAAAAGTGAATCGTCAAAATTCCATATACTTTTTATTAATTACTATTCATTGTTAAATTTCTGGAAATTCATACACTTTCACTCAATATATTCTGAAATCTAGTTGTCCAAAATAGAGTTAGGTAGATTGAGTATTGTGCAGAATTTATAGCTAAAGTAAAACTTTAAATTGTTGAGATGTCTTATTACCATGACAGCACAACTTCAGTCATTTAAATGTTTATTATAATGTCACTAAATGCCCTTTTTCTTCTTTATTTTTTTGTTGAGGAAACTTTTTTTTCTGTTTAGGTTTCACCACAACTACTATTACTTTCATATTTTAGAGAGAGATTGAGTATGATTAAGGTAGAAGTATTATATCTTCATCATGTTGTGCTCTTAAGCCCTCACTGTGTAATATGTTAATAGTTGCCAAAGTATACTGCATATATGTAGAAACCTAGCTAAATATATGAATACAATGGATTATAAGAATTTAGGTCAAACTCTGATTGGGTCAAGTCTCATAAGAAGTATTACCTAATTTTATTGATGCAAACTTCCTCTCTCAGTGAGTCATTTTAACAAAGTCATTCAAAAAGTTGCTTTTTTGGACTGACCTTTGTGTTGAACCACAAGGGACCTGGATTAATTCTTGATGAGATTGTAAATATTAAAAAATGTTTTTATTTTCAAGGTCTTAAAAATGATTTTATTTTCTAAACTGGATCCACTTCATGGTAGCCTTGATTCACTTACATCAGGATTACCTGGGAAGCACAAATACAGTTACATATACACACACGGACACATGGCACTGTCTTTAAAAAAAAATAAAAATGAGGATATGGACAGCAAGAATATGAATTTTTTATTATATCTTTTTATTTGCAATGTATATAAATCTATGAAGTATGGACATGGACACGAGACATAGACACGACACAACATGGATATGCTAACACAATGATTTTTAAAAAATCATGACATGACACATTGGGGGACACATGAAAAAAAATGAATGAGATGGGTATTGACATTGTTTATTTGTGGAATGTTTGTATTGATTCGGTTGTTAACAACAATATAGGAGTATGAGGAGACAAGTGAAGAACCTGAGCAAGTTGCCCCTAAAGAAAGTGAACAACAAGAAGTTGAAGAAGCTGAAGATAAAGAAACACTGGTAGATACACAACAGGAGCCTGAGCCTGTGCCTGAGCCTAAGGAGGAGGAAGTTCCACCATTGATATCAACTAACCAAGCTGAGGATTTGTTGGTAAGTAACTGATTTGTTTGGCATATTCCTAATTTTTTTTTTCTTCTTTCTTTTTTTAGTGACTTTTCTATTGAATTTTTGAAGTGTTTAAAATTGGCATTTGGAAGGAAATAAGCACGCCAACGGCCTAAATTTTTCTTTATGAAATTTTTATAGAAAAATGGACTTATAATCCCAGCCAAACAAAGCCAATTCTATTGGAATAGCTATAGGAATTTCTGGGACGGAGGTGTGTTTTTTCTTTATTTTCTTTAGGTTAGCATTGTTTGAAACTTGAAACTAATTTCTCCTCTTTCCAGGTTGCTAAGGAAGCTTCAGATATGGTGCTGGCTGATGATAATTTCAGTACAATAGTCGCTGCAATAAGTGAAAGGAGGTCTATCCACAACAACATGAAGGCTTTCATCAGGTGCTTTCCCATCTTCCCCTCTAAGCAGTAAATGATCAAAGCATATAAAGAGAAAAGTAGAGCAAGATTTTGAATAGGTTGATTCAAGAATGAATACCAAAAGCAAAATTATTTTTTTGTTTAAAATCTGTTGCTTCTGTATGAATGCAAGGATTAAAGAAATCAACAGTTGGCTGATTCATACTGAATACCCAAAAGTTAAAAGAAAAAGAAACACAAAATTTTAATCACCAAAAAACTGTTTTCACCATTACAATACTTGGTTTATATAGAAGAAACCAATCCTAAAATCAATCACTACATTAAAATAGTTGATAAAAAATGTTTCCTAAGGGAAAATCTACAATGATAGCATTAATCCATCTCAACCATAAAACTATGTCTTGAATCATTTATAAACATTTGCAGCTTTTTACACATCAAGAAAAGGGTAATTCATAATCCTGCTTGTAGCAAAAATGAACTTTCAATTGGGCTCATGTTGTGAATGGTTTTCACCCTATTGTAGGTACATGATCTCCTCAAATGTAGGTGAGGTTGCCTCAATATTTTTAATAGCGGCATTAGGGGTCCCGGAAGGCCTAATCCCTGTCCAACCCTTGTGGATCAACCTTGTCACAGATGGACCTCTTGCGACAGCCCTTGGATTCAATCCACCAGAAAGAGACATCATGAAGAAACTCCCTTGCCGAAGTGATGACATGCTCATCAATCCTTGGACTTTATTTCGCTATCTGGTAAAAAGTTTGGAAAAACTGATTTCACATTGCAAAAACTGATTTCCATGAGATTTAAGTATAATAATCTGTATAATTAACAAATGGATTATGTGCAGGTGATTGGGCTATATGTTGGAATGGCAACTGTTGGTGTATTCATCATTTAGTACACATGGCTCATTCTTAGGTATTGACCTTAGCGATGATGGGCACACATTGGTCACATTCTCTTAGCTTGCAAATTGGGGCCAATGCTCTTCTTGGGGGAAATTTCACAGTTTCACCATTCACAGCTAGGAATCATTTATCTTTAAATGATTTGGTTTTGAGAGTAGTTCAATATTGTTGTGTTCTGACTAAAGTTTACTTTATTACTTTGTTGTCACTGCTACTGAAAGGGACAGTTGTTGCACCCCTAGATAAATTGGGTAAATCATCATGATGTTGCTTTTCTATGGATAGTCTTAGCATATGGTAAAAACTGTTTTGTGGTGGTTTCACATTTTTTTTTTTTTTGGGGTATAGAATTCTCGCCAAAAAATATTCATTTATATTATAAATATGTAATGTTTTTAGGATTTATTTTCCCAGTTTTATCTAGGTTGCCTTGTTAGAATATCATTAGCTTTGGTATCTTATGGTTGCAGGGAAAGCATTACAAGATGAGAGGATTAATGGAGGGGCATTCATAGGCACTGATGGTCTTCAATTTCCACAACAGCTAATACCTGTAAGCTTTAATCTCACCATGTCATTGATGTCTGTCTAAGCTGGATTTACTTGATGCCTATGCATGTCTTGGGCATTCCACATTTTATGAACTATGGTACTTAGAAAATAATCTAGAACATTTCTTCTTATCTTCGTTTCTTTAATTATTGTTATTATTGTTCTTATTCATTACACATTCATTCAACATAACATGTTTTTTGTTAAAAAAAAATAAAAAAATAAAACATGTTTGCTTCTCTCGTGGCATATTTGTTGATATTTTTCTTTCCAACTGATCTATAGATAAACTACAAATAATAATCTCATGTATTTGCTATAGTTCCTATAGTTCCTTATCTTATGTATTTGTTACTAAGTACTCTGGTAGAATTACATCACATTGTTCCAAAAAGTGCCTAAAGCTACTAAAACTTACCTAAATTTCTTCTATAATGGATTGAAAGTTTCTTTTTAAACTTGTAAATAATATGGACTCTAATTTGGCTTGGACTCTTTATTTTGGAACTTATAATGGTAATGGATAAGACCTATACAAACCTAAACCTCATATACTCATTTCCCTCTAGAAACATTGCAACAAAAGAGGCAACTTCATTAGAGGTATGAAAAAAAAGATTTTGATTTATGTGGATTTTATTTGCATATATGTTGAGATTGTTGAGATTATTGAGATCTTGAATTTTTACTAATCTTTCATTATGACATTGCTTTTATGGGGCCATTGAATTATCTTATTAATTTGGGAAATGTTTTGTCGATGTTTTAAAATTTCTTAATCATTTCTTAATACCTCAAAAAATATTTTGTCCCCACGTCATTGGTTTTTGTACTTACGTGAAGTTTCCTTTGTCATGTAGATAAGAAATGTAACAGGGTTAGTTGCTCCAGTATTGTTGCGGGTATAAGTGCCTTAACGCATACATTGGCACCCTCGTTCATGTGATAGGAGCAAGTGGATTTGCTACAACTGCTATCTCTTGTCGGTAGTTTTAGATAATCTATTAATAATTGTCGATATGTTTAGAAAGTTAGATATGTATAGTTTTGGATGGTTTAAACTTTTTGTACAGTTTAGAACTTAGGGATATAGTTTTCGAATGTTTGGAATGTATAGACAATTGTTAAATGTTTTTGATTTATGGATATAGTTTCTTTTTTATGTTTCAAACAATATTTTGGTGATTGATTGATGTTTTGTGATGCTTGTTTGTAATATTTGTTAGATTGTACAAAATTGATCAAATAGAACCTGTTGAATTTAAAAATAAAAAAAATTACATATTCTACAGCAGGCATAATTAGTCGTTGTATTACATATTTTACGGAGTGCAATCAGCGTCATTACTTGTCTCGCCAATTAACGACATGCAAAAGTAGTCGTACAAAAATTAACGACGACACACAAAATCTTCCCTTAAATAGCTTTTAATGGCGTACCATAGTATATCGTAGAAAAAATAACAACGATGTGCAAAATCTGCCGTTAAATAGTTTTTAACGGCGTACGAAGCATGTTGTTGAAAGTGAATGATTTTCTATTATTGGTCATAATATGACGCGCAATGCATGTCGTAGAAGGGTTTTTATGGCGTGTATTGCGTGCAGTAAAACCCTTTTTTGTTGTAGTGTCTCCACCGATAGTCCAAAACAGATATTTCTAAACAGTTATATAATCTATATAACAGATAATTTATCAAATTTTCATAAGTAAATGATTTAACAATTTCAACTACACCATGCATTCACATATCCTCCCAATTTCGCATTTCCCATATCAATTTTATTATTTATACAAAATGATTATCCAACCCAAATTAGGACAAATTTCACCCTTTTTCAAATATCAACCCCAAGGTCAAATTTCACCATTTTAACATAAGAGGCTTCATATTCAAAGCCACATACTCATTTTATAACCCAACATGGAAAAACCTCTCTTTTAATTTGAACCCAAACCCTAGTTTACCCAAATTCACTCCCAAATCCCATCATCTATGCATAACAACAAATATCTAGGTTAAAAGTCATATTAAGGTGTAGAATATCCCTACCTTCAGTGTAGAAACCCAAAGGAAGAACTTCAAAGATGCCCAAACTCGTTTTTATTCAGATTAATAGGAAGCGCACAAAATGCTCCACATTTTTAACAGAGGGACTAGGGTTGAGAGATCCCTAAATCTAGGTGTAATTGTAGAGAGGGAGAATATTTTAGAGAAAGAGAGTGTTGAATTAGGGTTTTAAGAAGAAAGGAAATCAAGAAGTAATGTACAATTGCTCTGCTGCGAACTGATATACACGACTCTCGCTCGAGCGACCAGACACAACAAGAAACCTCGCTCAAGCGCAAGAAGCGTCGCTCGAGCTCAAAATACATACCTTCAGGCATTTCACAGACGCACACCCTCACTTGAGCGCAAGAAGTCTCACTCGAGTGAAGAACTTCACCTTTCCAGAAAATTCTGCGTCTAGGAAAAATATTGAGAACTCTCAAAGCTCGCTCGAGTGCAAGAAACCTTGCTTAAGCGAAGAAGCGAATTTCACAAGACTCACTCGAGCGCAAGAAGGCTCACTCGAGCGCAAGAAGCCTCGCTCGAGCGAAGAAGCAAATTTCTGGACAACAACAACTTGAACAACTAGCAACTAACCTACTCCGAACATGCCCAAGACATTCCAATACTCTAACCCAAAGACAAAAGAGGGAAAACAAGACATGGATAATAATATTAAACCATGAAACCCAGGCCCAAAATACAATGAAGGTCGGGTCAAAATCAGGATTGCTATAGCCGTGACCTCGGCCTAACAGGCCGCATCTTGCTTGTTTCAAATGGTGTATCAGTTCTTCCACATTGGTTGGGGGATACTATGCCATTGGAATAGGTGGCTGGTCTTGTGCTGGACTGGAAGTAAATGAGTGTTCCTGAACTGAGTTGGACATAGGTGAGCCGAGGGGTGACTGTTGTAGGAACTGGACTGGTGAATTCTGCATGATCCTCCTCCGTCTTGTAACCGGTGAGAGTGAAACAAACATTGGTTGCCCCTGAACTAAAGCTCTGACCGCACAAAGTCTATTGACACAAGTTCAAAGTACCTGAGGGATATCAAAGCCTTTCGAAGCTATGGTTCCAGGACTACCTAGCAAAAGAGAAAATAGACAGCACCTCAGCCCAAAATTCACTAGAACGAATATGATCACAACTGAGTGACTGTACTCCACACTGAATTATGCCCCAAAATAGATACCAACTATACCACTGATATGAAGCACCCCTGTACAGTTTCACTACAAAGCATATACCAGGTAAAGAGAGCCAAAACACCCCTATGAGGGGGGGTAGGGTTACCCTGTCCTAGCTTTAGCATGATCTAGGGTTTCACTACTTTAATCAAGTGGTTTCATGAAATCCTGCATTCGGGTGAGCATCATGTCCTAGTTTGGAACAGTCACTATGGCTTTTCTATAAGCAGCTAGGCCCAATGGTCAAAAAGGATACCTCAGTAAGACTACCTAATAAACCTCTCACACCTAACACCGAGAAGTGAAAGGAGGATCAAACGGCACAACGGTAGTCCATATCCAAGAGTTATGTTTCCATCGTGGTAGAGCCCACGACCGGTCAGCCTTTTGGCAAGCTTTTGGGCAAGGCTTCAGCAAATCATTCAGGAATAGCAGATGGCAAACACAGTGACTTACGCGCACCAATACAAATACAATGCCAAAAACATATAAGCGTAGATAAAATTTCACATCATGAAGTTCAAGTCAAGTTCTCTAAATTTCCCAGTGTAGTCGCTAGAAACTGTCGCTCGACTTTTTGTGCTCCTTTCGAATACGACTAGCCCTACAGTTTGGACTCCCGTGGTTCGAAATCTGCTTCCACAAGTGCAATGTGAAATAGATAAACACAAATGAGTCCAAATTCGACAATTCGTTTGGAAAATCAATTTTGAATCAAAATGTCAAAAATAGACTGCTTTGCCAGATACAGAGTCGCCACCTAAATATTTTTGGAAAATTTAGGAAACCCATGACTCGTGCCAAAGGCCATGAGTCCGTCATCATCAAAGTGTCTTGGCTCAGGAACTTAGGTACGAGAGGGGAAGGTCATGAACTGGGCACCCCACTCGCCCGATCAAAGATCGGCCTCTACTAATCATGATGTAATTCTTATTTATATTATATGCTCTTGTTCCGGTTATTAGACTAACTTTACTATGTGTTGCACACAAGTATAGACTAATTTTTAAAAATTGGAACACTTTGATTCATGTTTGTTTGAAAATTGTTTCGAATATGTACCACTTGAAAAAGTGATCTCATATGTACATTTACTCAAATTATTTCAATTCAAGCAATTAGCCTTCATCTATAAGCATTTAAGCAATTTATCACTTAAGCACCTATACATGACAACAATTACACGCATGAGATATGCTAAAGCAAAAAAATGCTCATCTAGTACTCCGAGGTGAGCCAAAACAAGCAAAAAAGTTAGAAAACATGCATTCTCCTAACTAATGCAGCATGACTAATGCAACACATGCGATATGTAACTAATAAGCTCGGCTACTAGTTATGTCATTTGAAACAACTTGATAGCATGCGGTTTAAACACGTATTCAACGAAGTATGTAAACTACAATGCTTTGTTTAGAATGCTGAACAGAACTTCGATGCATACAAGACAAATGGATGCAAACATGGGAAATGCTAAAAGAAACATGATGTTCTAAACTACTTATTATAAGCAAGTAAATAAAAAGGAGAAATACGTAGGGTTGGAAGACATACACAT